CTTCTCCCCAGTGTCCGATCAAACTGCACTGGGCTGCCCAGAGCCATGTTATAACCAGCGCCCACCCTGCCTCGGCTCTCGGCAGAGGAAGCTGCTGCAGATGCCGGGCTAGGAGGGGCACCCGCCTGCCAGAGGAAGACGCGTCTATCTAAGGATTCCCAGGTAAGAATCCCTTGCTGAGGAGCTCCCCTCTCTTCTCTGAAGCCTGGCCCACCTGGCTCTGAGGTAGCTGCTAGTCAGGGGCACTAGGGACCTGGGGCTTGGAGCATCAGACAGCCTCAACCAGACACCCCACCTGGGAAACTTTTGGAAAATGTGCAAACAGGTGGAATTTAAGTTTTTTCATGAAGGTGTCAGGAAGCCTTCACACAAGTCGGTCTGACCAGTGCCACCAGCCATGGCCAGGCCATCAGTGAATCCCTTTCAGCTAAGCACTTCAATCCAAAAATGTCTGTGGCATGGAGTTCACCAGGTCAAATACAGTTATGTAAATAGACTTCTTTTAGCAGTGTTACATGTTCACATTCAATAGAGTGGAGTGTTCCCTTGTTCATGTGGAGTGGGACAAAGTAAAAACAAATGCCAGATCTACTTTGCTTATGGACAGATTCATAGGGTTTTAGATGAGATTAGACCATTAGATGGAAACATAGGAGAAAGGGACCAGAAAGGTCATCGAGTCCAGTTCCCTGCCGTTACGGCTGGACCAAGCCCCGTCTAGATCATCCCTGACAGCTGGTTGACTAACCTGCTCTTAAATTTTCAGCAGGGTAGCCATCTTAATCTGTAACTGAAAAAAAAGACTTTAAAAATCATGAGTCGTCTTGCAGCACATTAGAGACTAACAAAAATGGAGATGGTATCTTGAGCTTTCATGGGCATCACTTACTTCTTCAGATGAATGAAATTTAACGGGTCTAAGTTCTAAATAAAGAACAGAGAAAGGAAGGGGATGAGGAGGGAAAACGTTGGAGAAAAAAATGGGGAAAGAATAGTCAATGAGTCTCTATGAAAATGAAGCTGATAGAGAGGGTTGTAAGGACTGTGAAGAACCTGCTGTTTGTCCTTTTATGTCATTAGGATGTGGGATATAGAGGGTAATTCAGTTAAGGTCTTTGTTTGAACCTCTATTGTAGCTTTCAAACTTGTACATGAACTTTGTAGGGCCTACAAAGAAAACAACAGAACTCCTCCTGTAAATGAAATTAGGCCCTGCCGCTTCCCTTTCAAGCAGGTTTTTTTTAATTGGCTTTCAATAATACGGTCACTTTGAGATCTATTAGTGAGAACCCGGGTAAGGTAAAATGTTCCCCAACAGGTTTCTGTGAATTTCCTTTTCCAATATCGGATTTGTGTCCATTAATCCTTTCTCATAGAGACTGTCCAGTTTGGCCAATATTCGTGGCACAGGGGCATTGGTGGCACTTGATGGCATAGATCACATGGGTGAATGTGCAGTTATATGAGCCTCTGATGTGGTGGTGTATGTGGTTAGGTCCTGTGCTATTTATTGGGAACTTGGACCCTTTAAACTCCATTCATCTGAAGAAGTGGGTTGTGCCCATGATTAACATCTACATACCATGAATGCAATTACCATCCTAACATCCAATGAAGGTGCAAACAAATCTTTATGCAGATTCCTGTGTTAGTATCCCCCCATCTATTGACTATAATCCTTATCTGCTTTGTTTTCACTATAAAGTGCTACCAGACCAGTTTTTCTTTTTTAAGTGTATCCTGTACAGACTAACTCAGCCACCCCCTGAAGCATCTACATTTTTGTTGGTCTCTAAGGTTCTGCAAGGGTATTTATTATTTTTATACAGTCTTCTGCTCTTAAATGTCTCTCATGATGGACATTCCACAATTTTCCTGGGCATTTGATTCCAGTATTTCATCACCCCAACGGGTGGGAAGTTTTTCCTAATGCCCAACCTAAACCTGCCTTCCTGCAATTTGAGCCCATGGCTTCTTGTCCTAGCCTCAGAGGTTAAGGGGAATACTTCTCCCTCTCCTGATTGTAACCATGTTTTAGATACCTGACAGAAGATCTGCCTCAGGGATTATCGACCCTTAAATGCCACCGCTTCAGTGGAGACAGGACCCATCTTGATAGCAGTGTGCTCCCAAAAGCACAGGCAAATCAACCCCCGGAGCGCTGCTAACGAGATCAAGGGGAGCATTAGGCTGTTGCTCTCATTTTGCTGACACCAGAGTGAGGCTGAAATAGTCCTAGCTCTCAGGGTGTGGATTTGGTTGTTTTGTTGCTGTGTGTAACAAGGACAGCTGAGGGAACTGGTGGTGTCTAGTTGTGAGATGTGGAGATTAAGGGAGGCATGAGAGCAGCCTGCAAATCCTTCTCGGTCTGGATGTCCAGAGATGGGCGGTTGGACAGCCCACCACGTCCCATTGCACTTTGTTCCACTAGTCACTCACCCTCCGTGCCCTTATTATTAACAGCAACTTGTGAGATTTTAGCTCCCCCCACCCAATTGGGTCATTTTCTGCTCTACTCAGCTAGCTTAAAGACCCATCTTCACAAGTTACGATAGATCGATGAAGTTCTTTCAGCCTCTCAGTGACCAGAATTTTCCATGGGTTCTAATCATTCGGGTGGCTCTTTTCCACAGCCTGTCCAGTTTCTCAACATCCCTTGTGAAATGCCGACCCCGGGACTGCCTAAGGTTGGTTTCCCTAGTACCAAGTGCAGAGGAAAAATTCTCCCCATGCTCCAACTCACCCCTCCCCTGTTTCTGCATTCTAGGATTGCATCCGCCCTTTGGCCCGTGCATTGCACTAGGAGCTCAGAAGGAATTGGGTCTGCACTATAACCTTAATCCCATTTAGGGTCCTTGCGTTCCATAACTCAGTGCCCTGGTCCATGCATTTATCCTGTATTCTCAGTTCATCCCCTCAGTCAATTTGCCGGCCCAGGCCTCCACGTTACACCACTCAGCCAGGCTTTGGGTCACCCACAATTTACCTGCAGTGAGTTTCTATTTTGATTGACTTCTGGATAATTGATGAAAATATTGAACAACATTAGGCCAACATTAGACCCCTGCCAAACTCCCCTAGGAACAGCCCCATTCACTGACAGTGGCCCATTGGCAATGGCTTTCTCAGATCTCTCAGTTAACCAGTTTTCAGTCCACTTTGCCCATGCTCTATTGGCACTGTGCGGTGCGCATTCTCTATGTGAATATTCATCCCTTGTACAGTGGAACCCTCCCAGGACAAAAAATCTGTTGAATTTGCCTGGTTCTGGGCACCACATTTCAGGTATTCTGGGGCAGCACCAATGACACTCCTTGTAAAGATGAGATGTTACGAAAACCAATCCCATCAGATTAAAAAAGCCAGCCACATTCCGAGGTCAATTTATGACTTTCCCACAAACCTGCTGGAGCCTTTAGGATCTCAACCCTAAATCTTTCTCATTTTTGTTCTCAGTGACCCAGAATTAGTAAAGTTTGACTACATTTATTTCAGAAGCATTTTGGCTGTAGAGCAGTGTAATTGGTGAAGGAGTCAATTACAGTCACCAATTGCAAAGATCTCGGTGCAGGCTTGTAGCAGGGATGGGATAAGCTACTGGCTTAAGTCCTGTTCCCGGGGCAACTGGGATTGGTGGACAGTCCTTTGTTCAAAGCTTCAGAACGGATTCTGTAGAGGTGAGGAGCAGGATCCAAGGCAAATGGAGGGATTTCCAGGGCGCTTTTCGTACCCTCAGCCATGGGGTTGGATTCCCATTCTGCTCACTGTGCGAAGCACATCCCAAGGTGGGGTTTGGAGGCACAAGAGTAAGTCACTTTCCACGGGTAACACCAATAGGCAGAACGGACCCTGAGACTGCAGTGCATGAGGCTGAGGCTGTAGAACAGACTCATTCTTATCTCTCTGGAAGTGACCTCAGTGCCACCCCATGGGCAGTGACCCACATCCAGTGGGTGTGTGGCTTCCACGTGCTTGGCTGCTTTCTCCGTGGGTGGACGCTCGATCCCACTCTCCAGAAGGAGAGTTTGCAGGAAAGAGTTAGGGCGAGTTGGCTGCCTCCCAGGCTCCATTATCCATTGAATGTTTCTTGAAGAACTTATAAACATAACTAGACTTTCCCAACACACTGGCTAATGATCCTGTGGGTGCTACTCCGGGAGGTTACCTCTGACACACAGACCCACAGCTAAAGTTTGTATAATGAAGGACATATATATGCATAATATTTGCATAACATTCAAATGGTATAACCATAACCAGGATATGCATAACACAGATAGGACACCCATAACCAGCCAACCATGAGCTCTTGGGAGACATCTCACTGGCAGACTTTGCGCTACATTTATTTTCAATGTATAGTAGTAGAGTTAGCAGTGCTCTGCGTGTTCCAATTACAATCCAAGAGCATCACAGGGGTATCTGAAGATTGTGTTTGCTTTGAACACTATTTGTGTAACACTGCTATCACTAACAGCCAGGACTTTCCCCTGAAGTGTGTTCTAATTGGAGGGTTTTCCCTGGCACTTGACTTGTCAAAGATTTGTATTTTTTTCCCCATTCTCATATTTTGAGAAACCAGGTCAATGGGGAATCTGTATGACATGAATGTCTCTTCAGGGTTTCTTTTCAGTAAGGGGCAATGATTGAAAACATGAATCCACAGCCCTGTTACCCTCTGGCACATGTTACATTTTCCCACATGATTCTGTATAGTAAATACTGACACATAAAATATGGACTTGTCATTAGTAGGGTCAGTGGTTAATGAATCATATCTCCAAATAATGAAAATGTCTTTTTACTGTGCAGGGAATGTGCTTCACCCATGAAAAGAGTTTCCTGTAGTGCATGTGATGTCTCTTGTTAACATCATCTCTCCATCCAGGTACTGTGAACTGCACTGTAGAGTCTGGGCATATAAAGTGAGTCAAGGGAACATACGGTATATGAAGGAGACACCATCCAGCCTCATCTTCGGATCCTTTCTCCCCTGCTCCATGTCATATTCCAACGCAACCGATTTCACCAACCCCTCCACCTTCATCCTGCTGGGCATTCCTGGCCTGGAGACGGCCCATGTCTGGGCCCATGTATGGATCTCCATTCCCTTCTGTGCCATCTATGCCATAGTCATCTTGGGGAACCTCACCATCCTGTTCATAGTAAAGACAGAGCCGAGCCTTCATGAGCCCATGTACTATTTCCTCTGCATACTGGCCATCACCGACTTGCTTCTGACCACATCCACCCTGCCCAAGATGCTGAGCATCTTCTGGTTCAATTCCAGGGAGATCAGTTTCAGTGCCTGTCTTGCCCAGCTGTACTTCGTTCAGTGCTTCTCAGTGATCGAGTCTGGGATATTGGCAGCGATGGCGTTGGATCGCTACGTGGCCATCTGCCATCCCCTGCGACATTCCACCATCCTGACAAACCCTGTGGTGGCCAAGATTAGCCTGGCTGTGGTGCTGCGCAGTAGTGTAGTTGTGTTGCCCTACCCCTTGCTGGTGAGGCAATGGTCATATTGCAGAACCAACATCATCTCTCATTCCTTTTGCGCCCACATGGCTGTGGTGAAGCTGGCCTGTGGCGACACCCGCGTCAGTAGCTACTACGGGCTCTTTGTGCTGTTTTGCATGTTGGGTCTGGATTTGGTATTTATTGCCATTTCCTACATGCAGATCCTCAGGGCCATCTTCAGCCTCCCCACCAAGGAAGCCCGATTCAAGACTTTTTGGACTTGTGGTTCACATCTCTGTGCCATTGTAATTTTTTACATTCCAACTGTTTTCTCTGCCCTCATGTACCGTTTTGGACAGAACTTTCCCCTGCATGTCCATGTTCTCATTGGCAGCATGTACCTCCTGCTGTCCCCTATGCTAAACCCCCTCATCTACGGGGTGAAGACCAAACAGATCTGGGGCAGGCTGCTCTGGCTCATTTCTCAGAAACAGTTTAAAGTTTTCTCCTAGGGCTGTGGCTTTCAGACCAAGCTCCTTGCTTCACCGAGGGGTAAGATGGTGCTGGGCCCCTTCCCTAAATCACAACCTTTGCAGTCAGACCGATGTTGTATCCTTCCCTTATTCTGCTGCATCAGGGTGACCCATGGCTGAATCAGTCTGCATATGGCTCCGTAACTCTCAGGGTTACAGTCCTTCACATTGTCAGCCGCTGGTGCCTAGGGCTCTGCCCCCACCCACCTATTCCCCAGGCCCTGTGTCCTGGCTTGCTTCTTTCCCCGTAGCCCCTACCTCTGCCCCAGCTAGTCCAATGTGCCCCTTCCCTTTTGCCCCTTCCTCCACCATCACCCAGTCCTTGGCCACTTCTTTTCACTCTCCTCCTCCTGTCACTGGCTGGATCTTCCCCACCTTCATCCCTGCTGCAGCTGGGTTCCCTCTGCTCTGGGGCTGGAGAGGAGCTTCTACTGCTGCAGCTGGGCTCCCTCTGCTCTGGGGTTGGAGAGGAGCTTCTGCAGCCTGGCCAGATACCTGCCTGCCTGGATGGCAGCATCTGAATAGGACAGTCCTGGGTCCATGACCCTACGCCTCCCATCTGCCTTTAGAGACCCCAACAAAGACTGGTCTCCTTTTCAGTGAGACTGTCCTGTTCAATGCCAAGTAGCTGGGAACCCTTCCTGCCATGCAGACAAAGTAGCCAACTGAGTGGGAAGTCTTGCTCTGTGCGAGTCACGGAAGTAGGGGTCCACTAAGGTAGGACAACGCCATCTCTAGACAGTGTCAGCGTCATGCAGGGAAGATGGAAGGAAGTCTCCTCAGAGGGAGCTTGGAGAAAACGGAGAAGGTTTGGCTAAAGGGTGGAACCCTCGTGCCTCAAGAACAGAATTTCCAGCCAGCTGGCAGAGACGGTAGAAGATGGGGGGTGACATCGTCACTTGTCTGTGCCCCCCACAATTCAGAGCACGAACGAAGCTCTGGGGGACGAAGGAAGTTGAGTGGGAGAGGGGAACATGGCCTGCAGCGTGGATGGAGCCGCTGCCTCAGGAACTTGTGAGCCTGCCTGTGTCATCAGCCAGGGAGAGACACTGTTGGTGCAAGTCCCATGTCATAGATGGTGAATTTGTTTGATCCCTTAGGTAACCAGCTTTGACCGGATTCCTGTCACTTCTTATCACTTGCAACCTGTCGTGCTGTACTTAATAAATCACACCCATGTTTTACCTCATCCGGTGGGTTTTTGAGTTAAATATAGGAGAATATTAACTCTGCTGCATGTCTTCATCACATAACATTAGTTAATTATACATAACGAAGTTTGTAGTTGCAACCTTGGCTCGGCTTGCTGCATGTCTTCTTCACATAAACGTTAGTTAATTATACATAACGAAGCTTTAGTTGCAACCTTGGCTGGGCCAGACTTCACTGCCCTTCTCCAGTGTCTAAAGAAACCCCCACATCCAAAGCAGTACTGGAGACCCAGAGTTCAGACGAAAGAAGTTTAGCAAGGATTGCCGAGGGTCAGCCTCCCTATATTCAAGTTCCAAAAGAAACTAAAATAATGAATTGAATTAAATAACTTTATAGAAATCTTATGACGAAACCAATAATCTAATTCTTACAACAGAACACAGGTATTTTATAGCCGGCAAATAATATCTATAATTACAGTAAACATACGTAAAGAGACAACTGAAAGTGAAATTTGAACAGTTCCGTCCACCTGTTTGTCGGCTCAGCGCGGCAGCCATGTAAATTTAAATAAAGCTGCGATCATTTAAATCGTGGCTCCATTTGACTTTGCCAAAACAACAAATCTACATGGCTCCGTCGACAGAGCCATGTAGTTTAGACGTATCCTTGGAGTCTGGTGTCCAGCTGTGGGCACCACATTTCAAGAAAGATGTGGAAAAATTGGAGAGGGTCCAGAGAAGAGCAACAAGAATGATTAAATGTCTAGAAAACATGAGCTATTAGGGAAGACTGAAAGAACTGGGCTTCTTTAGATTAGAAAAGAGAAGACTGAGAGGGGACATAACAGTGGTCTTCAAGTGTCCAAAAGGGTGTTATAAGGAGGAGGGAGAAAAATTGTTCTCCTTGGCCTCTGAGGATAGAACAAGAAGCAATGGGCTTAGACTGCAGCAAGGGAGGTTTAGGCTGGACATTAAGAAAAACTTCCTCACTGTCAGGGTGGGTAAACACTGGCATAAGGCCAGTCTAGACACAGCCAATAAGAAAAGACTGAGAGTTCTCAGGAGCTTAGATTTGGTTCACCGATGTCTCCGTTTAAGCCCATGATATCAAATCTGTACCATATGCTGAGTCTGAACTCTCTCTCTACACTTGCTGGTAGGGAATCCTCAGTTGGAGTCCAGGCAGACTTTTCCTCTGCTATGGTCACTGCTAGGCAGGCAGCTCACTGATTAACTAGTCAGTTAGCTCCCAAGTGAACAGACTTCAAGAAACCCTGTTACAAGAAAATACAAAAAAACCCTGAGAACAACAGAGTAGAAACGACTCTTTTCCCCGTTGCTACATTTACCGAGGAGATGAAGAACCCCACGGACTGAGAAAGTGAACTAGACCAGTTTGACGACAATCAAAACAGCATTTAAAGCCAACAATTAACACACGTTATTGCCCCTCCCAGGTTCTCGTAGCTCTAAGTAGCATTGCCCGTGATCGCTGGTGCAGGGTTAACAACAACCTGCTGCCAAGTGCTGCAGAATGAGGAGCAGCAGCCAGTTCTCTGCTCCTGGCTTAGCTTCTTCCAGCTCACACAAGCCATAGAAAAGCATCTGCCCTGCCTGCTTGCTCATGACGTCTGACCCCAAATTACTGGACCCAACTCCAGAAGCTTCTGGGTGGAGGCTGAATCTGCCCTGCAACAGTAACACTCAACTCACTCCTATCTACCCCACAAGGGTCTCTTAAAGAGATCGCCCCCGATTAAGTGCATGGGTTACATAATTGAATATTGGGCCTGATCCTGGGAAAAAAAAGTATAGAAAATGAAATTCTTATACAATTTTCATTGAAAAGTAAGAATTTCCTCTTAATCTTTCTGGCCACAGCTGTAGCAACATCCAGTAACCGTCAGAGCATATGGTCTACATTTGACAAAATGTAAATAACCACAGACGGTTCATAGTACCTCGATTTCCCTAACAATACAGGATCCCAGTTCAAGGGTCTAGTCCCTGCACCGTGACTTTGTTAGCTGCTTATCAGTTGTAACCTCACGTCATGTAACAGGCTGGTCTGGGGGCACCATTGAGAAGGTCAAATTTGGGCAAATTGCTTAGAACCAGGGCAACTTACAGCTCAAGACGGCAGGTCCTCCTCTATAAAGCACCAAACCATTTACACAGAGTAGTTCAGCTGCCCTCTGGCCAGCAACCAAATCCCCTTAGATACCCCGGCTTTACCTGTGCCACAGCCAGTTCTGTTCAATAGCTTCATCAACAATTTAGATGATGGCATAGAGAGTACGCTTATTAAGTTGGCAGATGATACCAAGCTGGGAGGGGTTGCAAGTGCTTTGGAGGAAAGAGTCAGATTTCAAAATGATCTGGACAAACTGGAGAAACGGTCAGAGGTAAATAGGTTGACGTTTAATAAGGACAAGTGCAAAGTGCTCCACTTAGGAAGGAACAATCCGTTTCACACATACGGAATGGGAAGTGACTATCTAGGAAGGAAGTGGGTCTTTGCCCACGAAAGCTTATGCTCCAATAGGCATTCCTCTTTCGACAGAGGAATGCAAATGCAGTTGAGCGAAATTGCAAATGAAGCGTGGATTTGAATTTCCCGCACTTCATTTGCATAATCACATCTGGGCATTATTTTGGGGGGAAAATGTTATCTAGACACGGTTATTTCGAACGAAAACCCTTTTTTCATAATTACCCTTAAACCTCATTTTATAAGGAGTAAGGGTCATTTTGAAAGAAGGCTTTTCTTTTGAAATAACCACATCTAGACAGCGTTTCTTTTTTCAAAATAATGCCCAGACGCGATTATGCAAATGGAGTGTGGGAAATTCAAATCCACTCTTCATTTGCAATTTCGCTCAGCTGCATTTGCATCTCTCTCTGGAAAGAGTATGCAGGTGTACACATACCCTTCAGTCTATAAGGTGCCATAGGACTTCTCGTTGTTTTTGTAGTTTCAGACTAACATGGATAGCCCTGATACTTGTCTAGGAATGGGTCCTGCAGAAAGGAGTCTACGGGTCATAGTGGACAACAAGCTAAAAATGAGTCACAAATATGACACTATTGTGAACAAAAGGCAAACATGACTTTGGGATGCATTAACAGGCATGTTGTGAGCAAGACACGAGAAGTCATCCTTCCGCTCTACTCTGCGCTGGATAGGCCTCAACTGGAGTATTGTGTCCAGTTCTGGGCACCACATTTCCAGAAAGATGTGGAGAAATTGGAGAAGGTTCAGAGAAGAGCAACAACAATGATGGAAGGTCTAGAGAACATGAGCTATAAGGGAAGACTGAAAGAATTGAGCTTGTTTAGTTTAGAAAAGAGAAGACTGAGATGGGACATGATAGCAGTTTTCAAGTGTCCAAAAAGGTGTTATAAAGAGGAGGGAGAAAAATTGTTCTTCTTGGTCTCTGAGGATAGGACAAGAAGCAATGGACTTAAATTGCAGCAAGGGAGGTTTAGGTTGGACATTAGGAAAAACTTCTTCGCTGTCAGGATAGTTAAACCCTGTAATAAATTGCCTAAGAAGGTTGTGGAATCTCCATCTCTGGAGATATATAAGAGCAAGTTAGATAGACATCTATCAGAGATAGTCTAGATGTACTGGTTCCTGACATGAGGACCTTCTTATCTTTCAGATGTTAGCAGGTGGATTCCTTAATTACTTGCTTCGTTATATTCATTATCAATTGTGATAGACAACCCACAAAATGCCCATGGTAACAAACTGACATTTACGATACTAAGTTGAGATCAATGACCTAATAGAAAAAGACACTTCACCATTAGTAAGGTGAG